ATATAAAATTTACTTATATATATAAATTTACTTATAAAATTTACTTATATATATAAATTTACTTATATATATATAAAAATTTTACTTATGTATATATATATAAATTTTACTTATATATATTATATATATATATTTAGGTTTTTTTTATTAGCTTATCGGTTCGGTATCGGTTTTACCGAACCCTAATGGGTTCGGAACCGATACCGAACCGATAACTTATCGGTAACCGACATTCGGTTACCGATAAACAAGAGTCGGTTCGGTTCGGTTTTTTAGCACATCGGTTCGGTTCGATTCGGTTCGATTTTCGGTTTTCGGTCAAAAAATGTCAGCCCTAATTTGGAGAACTCTAATTTTAGCTCAAAAACTGATGCAGAGGATGTATTCGAAAGGGAAAATAGAACGCAAGAACAGATTTTTGTTTTCTTTTCAGAATAATAATACGAAAATGAAAATCAACTGTTCAGGGCGTGGGTACATATATGAAGAGCCCACTACTCATCAACTTTCTAATTATTTAATTAACTACTCCACTGATAAAAGTAACATAAATGAAAACCATAATAACTAATAAACTGATAACTGATAAAACTGGAAAATAAATAGTCTAAGCCCGGTCATATTTCTGCAGAAACGCTGCCTCGTCTCCATCAAAAAGTCTCAAAATATTGTGAAATTATAAATTAAACAATATATATTTATATACATGATGAGTTAAAAAACTGATATGATGAACAACTATATATGAACAGAGATTTAATTTGGAAGCAGCTAAGGGTGATTACGAAGGGCTGCAGCTTATAAATTACGCTGGACCACAAATGAAAACGAAATCCTCTATTTATTTAGCCCAAACAAATAACATAACACCAATTTTTTTTTTTTTTTCTTTGTAGCCAACCATGGTATCCGAATTTATGATCCGACTAATCCGCTGGTCGACCCGGTCGCACATCTGGCAGTGGTGGATGAGTCTCCCAATAAAAGTTTTCTGCATCCACAAGGACTCAAATCCGAGACTTTGTTTAACCGACATCAAGTTGCTTACTACTTGAACCAACCTATACGGGCTATATCAGTATAACACCAATTTTTTTTTTTTTATTTTTTTTAAGGCTGCAACTGATGATATAACTCTTCGTTAGTAATTGATTCGATCAAGGTAACTTCGACCAACTGTATAAGTACCTATTTAGTTGAATCATTCCCGGTCAATTGTATTTGTGAGGTCAAGAAATCCACATGCGTAAACTTGAAATGAAAAGCCCACCTTTATCTCAACTTATATATTCCCTTTTTTAATTTATATTAATTAATAAAAAAAAATCTTGATTTTAGTTTTCTGCCATAAGATTGCAATTTATTTAAGGAACTGAGAATTATATTATTGTTAATGGCACTGTTTTATGACTGGGATCGTCCCGGCGGGTCGACCCGGAGACGAAACTGGTCCGAGTACACTATTTGGACTAGGTAATAATGGACTCGGTCAAAACCCGGCCAACCCGGCCTTAACCCGGTCGACCTGGGTCATTGACCCGGTCTCTATAATTTTGTTATTTTTTTATGTTTTTTTTTTAATATAAAAAATAAAAACTATGTTTAGGGTGTCTCCAATGGTTAGCTATTTGGCTAGCTATTATGACGTGGACAAGGGAAAAGTAAGAGAGAGAGTAGTCACTAGCTACTAACAAATAGCTTATCTATTTCACGTAGCCCAAGATCATGTGAGAGGAGTATGTGGGTCCAATAGTGTAAAATAGTCATTTTTCTTATCTCTCACATTCACGTCAGCTGACTATATAGCTAGTAATAGCTATTACCATTGGAGATGCCCTTATATAATGACATAGTAAATATTTATTGTGAGATTCAATATTATTAACATTTAATGTACAAATTTTTTATACAAAATATTTATTTTTGTTACTTTTATGTATACTTATATGTCAAAAAATACCATATATATAATTTTAAAAATTTTAAAATTAATTATTCAGTTCACCAATTGACACGATGACCCGACGGTTGAACCGGTGACCCAATGAAGCGGAGACCTGGCCGGGTCGCTTTCCGGGCCGGGTTTAAAAACTATGGTTCATGGATAATGCTCTTATATCCACGGTTGCATATGTTAATATGTCTACCGCTTATGTAACACTACATATTGGTGATGTTAATATGTTCACAAAAATACTATCAACAATGTCTGCATGCCACATAAGCGGTAGACAAATTAACATGTGTCTACCGTGAGTCCATACTCCCAGCTTGTTTTGATTTAAAAAAAAA